AGCAGGTAAAAGTTGGTCTGTGTTCTGTCGGAGCTGCCTGCGACGAGCTGATGAGATCCAAAAAGATCGAAATCGCGATCCGCGTCTGGCAGTTTCGACAGAATACAGACCACTTCGAATTATTTTATTCGAGTCGAGAGTGTAATGAGCTTTTTCTCCATACCTACGATTTTGTCAGCGCGCATCCAAGACATTGGAAGGGACACATCGCTAGAGAAAGTAAATGAAGTATACTACCTGTATTTTAAGTCTACTATTAGTTAAAACTGACACAATCTACAACCAGTTATCTCCAGTTGCTACAAATCAAGGCTGGAATTCCAAAAATTCAAAAACCCCTCTATTGACTTCAAATATTATTAATAAAAGAATTTTATTCATTCGGCAACCGCTCCTAAGCACTTGGTGTATAGAACCTAACCCTTAGTACATAGCAATTAAGAAAAAGAAAAATTTTCAAAAGATTATAGTGAAACTTATTCGTACTCTACACAGACCAAATCGTTAAAAAAATAGGTCAATATCGCTAATTTTTCAAGAAAGTTTCCCATTTTCTACTTTTATTTCTTGGGAACACCCTGTGTCTAATGTACGCGGAATCTTTGCACTTTTGTTGTTTCAGAAATTAAAATTAGGCTGAATCAATAAACCAATTTTGAATCTGTTTTCAACGTCCTGTAATATCGTCCTTCATTTCTAATGTATTTTTTGTCTTTCCTTTTTGGATTTTAACTATGCACAACAGCATGTCCATTCAGCCTGCTTTTGTGTTCTTAAAATGTAGCAAACGTCTAATTTAAACGTCAAAAACTTTTGTTTTGTAACAGCTTTTCTTACAAAAACACTCTAGATGTTGATTACCTTCCAACAGCGTGCTACTAGACGCGAACGTACAAATTTCTTTTCTGATTACCGCACTCTTCTTGCATCCATTATAACAACTAACATCTTGTGTTTTTAATGATTCCACACGTGTTCGCTACGTACACAAATAGAAGATTTAAACTTATAAGTAGATACGTACTCATTACCATTTTGCAGATGCAAATTGTTATTATTCCTACTCCAACTTACTTCAGCCTGCCAAACTTATAACGAATTCAAATTCTATTGTTTGTTAGTTTATTTCTAGAAAAACAAACTTTAAATTAATAAAGTAGAAGTAGCTACCAACAAATACTTACGAATCCTGTCTCAGTCACGTCAAACCTATCATCAACATCATCATCATCACGAGACTGTCAGTCCTAAGATTCGTTGGACACGTACTTCCACTTTTACCTATCCTAAACTAATCTTCGCATTTCCCCTAAACTAGAATAACCCTTATCCTTAATTATTTGCGAATAGTAATCTAATGTAGGTCTACCTATACTTCTAACTCCTGTTTCTGTCTCTAATACGTCTCTGACTAGACCTTCATGCCTGGGAAGGTGTCCTAGCAACCTATCTCGCCTATTTCTTATTGGCTTCCGTAGAGTCCTCTATTCTCCTATTCTTTCTAATACCTCTTCCTTCATTTCTAACCTTCTCTATCCACGGTATCCTCATCATTCGCCTACAACACCACATTTCGAACGCTTCTAACCTTATCATTTTTGACCCCCGTACAGCACCGCGCTCCAAACATACACCTTTAACAATCTTTTTCGAATTTCTAAATTAATCGTTAACGAGCATAGAAGTGACTTCTTTTTGTTGAAGGCGACTCGACAAATTACCCAACCTACGAAAAATATATCCATTTTTGGTAAAATCTCATGTTAAAAATTCTATAAAAATTAATAAAATTTTATAATAACATGGAAATTGTTTATAATCGTATATATAATTACAGATTCGCAATCAACTTGACATAACATACACTTATTGTACTTAGGTACATTTATACATTTGCTAGTTATACTTTTAATTACTTCATTTTAGGACTTCGTATTATCTCCTTTATTAGCGATTTTCGATTGTGATCATTTGCAACAACAAAAATTGTTTACGCAAAATCTAATTAACTGTGAACGTGAACTACCTATTTTTAGACTTTTCCTTCTAAAACCTGCGTTTCGACTATCTAATGAATTTGAATTTATTTAATAAGTTTTAAACGAAAGAAGTTTAACTTTATATGAATGGTATAAAGACTATACCAACCAATTATTTATAAAATTCGAGGAAACGATTATCTCCTTTATAATTTATTGTTACGAAATTTCTTTATTGAGTAACTGGTAATAAAAGAGGAATTAATATAGGTAATAGACGATCATAGCGTGCTGCTCAAACAGAAACAAACGAATGCAGCGCTAGCATCTGGACAAAGGATCAATCAATATGCGTTCGCTTTACTGCATCCTGCAGCTGATTTGCGTCGGTTTTAAAACTCCATATTATACAAACTAGTACCAAAAGGTCTTTGATAAATCGATTTATGTTGTTTTACGTATTTACTAGGTAAAATGTTGTATTATTTTAAGGTATTTTTAAGAGTTGAAAGAAATGCAATTTTAAAAAAACAATTTTTCTTCTCTAGTTCTCTGGCTTGGATAAGGACGAGGTAGCAAAAGAAAAAGAAAGAAATCTGTAGACAAAAATTATATATACCTACGCATACTTAACAAATAAATAAAAATTTTCTATAACATAAAGTATGCAAACATCACAATATGTACAGTTTAAATTGTTTATTACTGTCATTGTCGTTAATGGATGACGCTTGTAGTTATATAGTTTTTGTCTTATGATTTTATTTTTTTAATTTTTACAATAACACGTCACCTTTTATAACCATTAAATCGTAATATATATCCACGCTTTCAAATGCTTTTAATTAGTAATGTTCAGATTTGTTTAGAATTTCTCCAATTAAGCAATAAATTTTCACAATCCAGGACGAAAAAATGTTACCACAAATTATTCAAAGTTTAGTATAGGTAGCCTTAAAATATATGTATATACAATAAATGAATCATATTTACCGAATGGCATCATGTAAAATTAAATCAATAGTAGTCTTTTGACTGAAAGGTATTTTGAATAGTTAATATAAAACAAATTCCAATGCACGTCATTTGCCACTTTATTGTAAAAAAAAATATTAATGTAAAAATTAAGGAAAAATCTGTTGCTGTTGTCACACCCTTGCCGGGAATCGAACCCGGGACCTTTGGCTTTGCGCACCAATGTTCTAACCACTAAGCTACAAGAGGTGACAACAGCAACAGCGACAAACCGTACTTATTAGGTCACAAATCTGTCGAACTAATGTAACTATATTAATACCATAAATATGAAACACTTAGGGGTTAATATCAAACATTAATGAGAAAATTCATTTTTCATTTTCAATCCCACTACAAACTACCTCAAGTTAAGTTAAAAAAGTTAAGTAACCTCAATACTAGGGTGATTCCCCTATAGTAGCCCAGGCAGTGTGTAAAGTGTGGTAGCTTTTGCTTGATGAAATCAAATTAAATATTGGAATCAGTCCACAACAAAATTCTAAAGAACCTAGAGCTAGATCGTTACGGAAAATGACCCTCTGTCGAACACTTTCGATCCTGGAAGTTCTCGACGTGTAGATGTCTAAGTCGTAAAATCTTAGATTTTTGAGATAGGGTCTCATAAAGTTGCTTTCTTTCGTAAGCAAGGTACAATTACACCAATTAAACGTATTAAATACATTCAAGATTATATGCAGATGTTGATGTGTCATCCCTATGTGTCATGGTTTCGGAGCGGGAGTGGTAATGCACCCTGCAAACGTGTAGTACACCTCAACATCATAATGTACTTATGGGGAAAAAAAGTTGGTGTACTCAGAGGTGTAACCAAACACCAACATAGAATCTGTTGTTTACGATTATATGCAACCCTGGACCAGTCGTTTTATGTATTATTTAATGTTTACATTAATCTAAGTTGTCAAAACGTACTGTCATAGGTATAATTGTAGGAAGAATGCAACTTTAGGGGAAATGTGAACTTTTACGACTTAGCTAGAGCCCATTGAGACTTTTAATCTATTGCCAAAATCCACGGTTTCAAAGAATTCGACAGAGAGCCTCAAGAATCTAAAAAGAAGCTCGAAAACTGCAGAAATTCCCAAAAATGCGGTGCTTTTTACATATTTTTATCAATACTTCAACCTTCCCTTTCAGAAAAGTTATCAAGGAACGAAAATTCTCCAGTACACGTTTCTATAAGGTTGCTTCCTTCTTTAGATAATGATAAAAATACTTTAAGAAGCAAGGCATCTCGGGAAATTGTTCGGTTTTCCAGGAAAATTTTAGGAGACGCAATCGATAGATATTGTTTAGAATATTGTTCTGAACTAATTCCAATATCCAAAGCCAAGCTTGATGAGATATATACAGAAACTTAAACTTTAGAATTAATCAATTGGCAGCCTTGCCGACATAGCAGCAAAGTTTGTATTTGTTGCTGTATTTCGTCTTTTTTGATCTTTTAACTTTAAACTAGCGCAAAAAATCCTTCTAATAAGAACTCTTATTATTAGTTACAAACATTCCCAAGGAGTTGTAATTCAACACTAACGATATGTCCCATTCTAGCGACGTGTACTAATTTTTGTTTTATATGAACTGTAGCAAGAGCTTCAACTCACAACTAAAATCGAGACACTCTTGAGTAAGTAGCAGAGAACTCACTTTCACTCGATACGCCATCACGAGTATTGATGTTCAAATGTTCAAAACGCATGAACAATTTTAGTTAATGTTATACGTTTGATTTTGCATTTTACGGTTGAAGGATACACTTCTAATTAAACAAACAAATAATTTAGATTTGACTTCCTTTAATTTTATTTCCGTCTAAGTTAATATGTACATCATACATACTTGCAGATAAGGAAAAATAAACATTTACTTATTCGTTTATGTACTAAACAAATCTGACAGGAGGCTTTGCTAAAGGATTTTATGTAATGCAAAATTGTTAAATTAATTACAACCACGCCGCTATTGTAGCCACCAAAATTATATCAATACATAACAATAAACGTATCCAATACAGAGATCACAAAAAGGTAAATAATATAAATTCAAAAACATGAAGCAAAGTTAAACAAGCCTGATAGCATAATGTTTAAAAGTATATATAAATATTTAACCAATTTTCCATATTGTCATTGACACATCCCTCGTAAGGCAAATTTAATGGGCACACAACCGTTTATTAATATTAGTAAAAATTAAATTGAAATGCAAACGAATGAAAGCTGATTTCACTGATTGGTTTTGACCTTGCAGTCTTGGTATTAGTCTTGCATTTTCGAAACACCAAGACTGTTTTTATGCTAGTAAGACCAAGACCGAACGTACAAAACCAAGACCAAACGAACAAGACCAAAACCAAAACCAAGAACGAATATACAAGACTAAATGATAAATTATTATACTTCGTTTAGTTTCTCTAGCGATGTGACCTTTAGTTTGACCGGCGCAAAGTAGAAGAGAACAGCACTAGGACAGACAAGAAAGGAGACAACTCTCGGCCAAACTCTTAACCGCTGAGGAGCGTATAATCCATACAGTACTGCACGGAAAAGTTGACCATTTTATCCACTAACATTGCATTGCTCAAATGTGCTGTTACTGGTACCAATTACTACTGAAAATATCAACGAGATGTTTATTTATATTGGAAGACATATTAAAAGCTTTAACGCTTGTTTTCGACTCGCACTACTATTCTTGATTGAACAAAACTTTTGGCAGGTACTGTATGAAAAAGTATGTTTAATGAACAACAGTCGAGAATATAATGAGCCTTTTTCTCCCTACCTACGATTTTACCAGCGCGCATCCAAGACATTGGAAGGGGCAAATCGCTAGAGAAAGTAAATGAAATATACTTCCGGTGGATTTATGAGTTAAGCTATTTGAAGCAACTCTAATACATTCTTTTCTTGAAACAAAACATTTTTAGTATTTGAAATTTTCAGTTCGCTGTGGTACATTTTAACACTAAAAAAGAAGCAATTTCATTCTGAATTGAGCATACTTTTATTAACATCAGTTTATGAGAAATAATCTAATCAATTATTATTAAACTGTTCTCCTTTTCTTCTAAAAGGTATAACCAAATGTGATTTTTTTAAAATATATAACTGCATTTCATACCTAACTTGAAAATTGCAATTTGCTATAAATTATCGATTTGATCTCAGAACCAATACATTCATTAATTGTTTTCAAATTGTAGTTGAATATTTTATAAAACTTCTATCAGAACACTACTATTACTTCTGACTGAAGATGCAATATCCAAATAGACGTTTCATCCACCATAATATATATCATCTTCTTGGTGCATATTAATATTCCGTAGCTAAGTAATTACAGAGCTCTTTCCTTTAAAAAGAGTGCCAACATGTTACATAATTTGATATTATAATTAAACTTATTAAAAAAATTGCTGATCATCTCAAGCATTTCGAAAGTCGTTTCCAGTTTTTAATATTGCACTTGTACACTTAAAAATATTTATTCATTGCTTTACCAGCTAGCTAGGAATGTTGTTTCTTTACTTTGTTATTTTAATAACTAGCGCCCTTGGTCGTATTTGTAATTGAAACAGAGGAAAGTAAAAGCTGCAGGATAATAATGAGACAAGTGCGAAGTAATGAAAAAAAATTTATGATTTTGGCAGTTTCAAAATATTGAGTTAGAAAAAATTGAGATTGATTTTGCGATCTCAAAAACATATTTGAGTATATAAAAATTCGAAACAAAATTTTAGTGACATGTAGCAAATGTCTCATTATTTTCCAATACGCTTTATTGCTTAGATTCAGTGGCAAAAATAGGGGTAACGGTGGTGGCGGTGTGCTCTGGGCTGCGGCACACGCGGCTAAACAGAGGAGTAGGGTTTTAATCTTGTGTGAAGTTTCTTAATAACATGACAACAACCTAATCAATCAATTAATGAAAATAAATTAAGATGAAAAAGCATCAGTCCGGAATAGAACTCAAACCCGCCGGCATACCAGTCGACCTTCTATACCACTAGGCCATTAACATGTCCGAAAATTATCTTATAAAATAAGATCAATTTGGGTTTGAAGCATCACTAAAGCGCATGTGCAAAGTTCACAAGATTAAGACCTAGTCGTTTGTTAAGCGCGTTGATTTTTACCAAGTATAGGAACTAGACGACATTTTCACCCCGGGCGCCACTAATGCCAGTTACCCCACTGCTTAGGTTGCAGCAATATCAGAAACAAACTAGAACAAACAGAATAACACTTGTGAGTGGGACTAATAAGTCTTACAGTTATTATTATTGCTAATGTATTAGATGACATACGTAATATGCTATAGTACTTTTTCTCATAGTAAGTGATTGTTTTAAGCAGGAAGACCGCTTTTCACCATCTCCCTTGACTTTACATTACTTTTTTTATTTTTATTATTGTCAAGTGCTCTGGTAGCACCGGCAGCAGCAACCTATCTCTTGTCTCTTTAACTTCTATCGGCTTTGTATCTTCGCAAACAGCTGCTTTGCTGCCAAAACGGCCCGTTCAGTGGGGCTAGACTCCATCTTGAAGCGATCCCTTCTGTTCTGTTTCAGACCACGACACTCATCGGTCTGCTGAAGACGGCGCGTCTATTGCGACTGGTCAGGGTGGCCAGGAAAATAGATCGCTATTCGGAATATGGAGCAGCCGTTTTACTGCTACTCATGGCTACCTTTGCGCTCATTGCGCACTGGCTTGCTTGCATCTGGTAAGTACACACAAACTCTAGCGGAATTTTCGATTAAAGGTGAGCGCACACTGGTTCGTAAGGGTCGGGCGAAGGCAGCGAACGGACGGACGGGCGGGGCGCGATGCACTTGTTTGTTGACAGAGCGCAGTGATCGGCAAATGTTTTAACTGTAGACGACTGACATTGGTCAATCACAATGGATGAGTCGTCTGACGAAGTGCTTTACATTATTCTTGAGTTAGAAGAGGAATTTCAGAATACTCAAAAGAAGAAATCACATATATGGCGATCGTGCCTATTTGCGACTGAAGCAATGGTCGAGGTATCGCCGACTGATCGTCAACGGACGCCGCGGACGCATTTTAATTCCAATGGTCGGAACCAAGACGCTACCGTCCGTCACATGTCCGTCAGTTTAATGTTTTATTCACATGATACAATTTCGACAAAACGGTTAGCACTTTTTCGTCGCGGTGTTGTATAAAAATTATTCGCTTACTTATTTAGAAGTTGTTAATCTTTCACTTGAAGAAGAAGATGGCAGCAAGAAAAGAAGGAAACAAAAGGGGTACACAAAAGTTTATTAGGCAGAAAAACGGAAGGGGAGTTTTGCGTGTTGTATTGGGATCCGTCAAATGGGCATACACCATCTGGTGGCAAAATTTATAACTCGAATGAGGGAAAAATTTACATAGGAACTGTGCACGCAAATTGTAAAATTGTTTATTAAAATAATAAAACACGTTAAAAAAGTAATTTTTTTTTTGATGATTGAGTCGACGAAGTTTTCTTCTAAAGTTAAATCAAATAAAAAGTTAATATGTTCAGTGAAAAGCTGCAATAGCACTTCAGACATAGATCTTCACTCTTCACCTACATTAACTACTTTCCAATAAAAACTAACCGTTTTATATATGTAAAAAATATATTCGGAAAATTAGAGAAAAAAGTAAACTAATAGAAGCTTGGATGAAAGCAGTAGGTATCAAAGAAGTGAATTCCGGAATAAAAATTTGTTCACGTCATTTTAATGCACATGATTATATTTCAGCAAGTATTTACCATCAGCCATAACCTTAATATTTAAAACTAGAATCATACTAAAATTATAAAGTGAGAAATTATTTATTCCTGTGTAATTGATTTAACACAATTCTAATGATACGATATAAGTATTTTGAGGTTAAGAACCTACCTGCTGCAATACAACAAAGTTGCAATAATGTGTTTGCAACGTTCTCTTAAATCGGCTTTGCACGTGCAAGTCATTGATATGATATTGCTTAAATCACCCAGAATCACCTCACCAATTATATAACGTGAATCACTTTTTAAATCCGAAGTTTGTAAAAAGTAGGCAGTAAACGTGACGGAATTTGAAGGCTAGCTTCCGGATTTGTTATTTCCGAATTTTATAATGTGATTGGCATTAAAAACACGCTCACTTTCAACGAAATTTTCTTTCCGAGGCTTTGTGTCAGCCCAATCACATATTGTGTCAATACTTATCATTTTATCGTAATTTAAAAACTTGGAAATTGCACGGTACACTATAGGAACTACGATAAGTTTTCCCTAATCAGCGCCATGTTTTGGGGCTCCTCCCATTTGACGCATCCCAATAACCAATTGTTACATGATGAAGATAAATTTCATCAATAGGTTCTTCAGAATGTCTAAATATCAATTTAATGATTTCGCTTAATAATACGTCTTTGCTGGTTACCAACGAACTGAATGTATTCTGCAATTCCGATTGAGCGAACCGACACAAAACAAAACAAAATGTTAAAAAGGGGAAAAAAAAACTTATTTTGTTTTTCATTCGTGATATGATAATATGAAGTCTAACAAGATTAACTTACAGCATTTTAAAATGCGTGGATATTTTTGTGTTTCAGGTACGCGATTGGCAATGCTGAACGTCCGGTTCTGCATTCGAAAATCGGTTGGTTGGACAGTTTGGCCAACGATACCCATCAGTATTATCTGTCAAACAATTCGGGAGGACCCAGTATCAAAAGTCGCTACGTGACCGCCCTCTATTTCACTTTCACGTCGCTGACAAGTGTGGGGTTCGGAAACGTGGCACCCAACACTGATGCAGAGAAAATATTCACCATCTGCGTTATGCTCGTTGGATGTAAGTTCACTTTTTGTATTTTTATAGGTAAAAGATAGTTTGAACAGTATCTTCCGTCTATAAATGTATGAAATTTTCTCTGCGAGTTCATTTAAAATAAAAAGCCTCAGCGGAATATTAAGTAGAATAGCAACGGAAAATCAATTTCCAGGTTATTTTATACATTTCTTAGCTTCGCTCTCAATCCATTTGAGAGTCCCGATGCCTCAATAATTTTATGAAATCATGTAGAAATGTGGTGTTACCGGCGAATGTTGAGGATACCGTGGATAGAGAAGGTTAGAAATTAGAAAGAATAGGAGAACAGAGGACTCTATAGAAGTCAATAAAAAATAAGCGAGATAGATTGGTAGGACATCTTTTCAGGCATAAAGGTCTAGTCCAGGGGTCGGCAAGCTGCGGCTCGCGAACCACATGCGGCTCTTTGGATGTGAAGCTGCGGCTCTTTAGTTCCATACGAAAATATAATTTATTTTATCAAAAAAAAATATTTAAAAATCGTTCTGAATTGATTAACGAGGATTAGACACTGATTCTATTTCTCAGCCACTTGTACTCGCTTTTCACCGCATCCCAATAGTCTTCCAGATTGCTACAGTGAGGTGAAGAAGTTGGCATGTGGAGTGCTGACTGGCAAGAAAACAATTTGTGGCTTGTAAGGTTGCCGACCCCTGGTCTAGAGGTTTAGACTATTGCTTAGCATTCGGGAGGACGCCGGTTCGATTCCGGGTCCGTCTGCCTTGATCCAAGTTTTTCTGTGGTTTCCTTGGATCGCTTAGGCAAATGCTGGGGCAGTAATAATACACAGATTATCTTTCATTCTTTTCTGTCTTCATTTCGTCTGTCTCAACTTTCTCACCCGAACCACCACCCACCCATTCCCACGATTCCTGAAAGCANGTGAGGTAAAGAAGTTGGCATGTGGAGTGCTGACTATCTTCGGATCGACATATTCGTGCGAGCAAGCCCTTGCATGAATATAACTAAAAGTAAAGTAAGAAGTTATGAGCCAAATTTATCCAAATTTTCTAAAACCGTGTAAAGCCAACACTCCCATTGAATTTGTTTGCTCAAATGTATGTTATTATTGTTTTTTTTTTATTTTAACTACAAGTTACATTATTTAGTAAAGTTTAAATTTTCTACTTGAATAACCATGCAAAGCCATGGCTCCCATTGAATTTGTTTGCTCAATTGTTTGTTATTGAAGTACAAGTTAGTGTTGTATATAAATAGATATTTTTTCTTATGAATAAATAGATATTCTTTCTTATGAATAAATAGATTGGTTTTTTATCAAAAAAAATTATTTAAATGCGAGTACTATTTATTTTTGGCAAGAAAAAATTTTGTGGCTCTTTAAAAACTTTGAAATTTTGTAAATTGTAATTTTCGACTCTTCTGACTCAAAAGGTTGCCGACCCCTGGTCTAGTCAGATAGATATTAGAGACAGAAACAGGAGTTAAGAGGAGTACAGGTATACCTACATTACTGCACGCTAATAGTCAAGCATGTGGGATTTTCTAGTTTTAGGGAAATGCGAAGATTAACTAAGAAAAAGAATGGAAATTCGTGTCCAACCAGTCCTAGGACTGACGACCTTATGATAATGAAATGATTTCTCTTTGAATCCAGCCTGGTTTAAACTACAATAAAAATATCGTATTAATTCGCCTTTTAACATGTATTATAAGGCTTCTTAAAAATGCATCAAAATTAAAATTGAATGAGACTTTTATTGCTGACATTGAAGAGTGAGAAATGACATAGGGCTTTATAGTCATTCAACTAAAATTTATTCATATATATTCAGGGCATCAAAAGCGGCAATAACTGTTTTTCTAACACCGCACCGTAATATATTGAAAATCGTCTACAACAATTGTTTTGATAGTTTGTTAATTCGAATTTTCACATATGACTATCAATAAAATTTTTTTCTTACGCTCGAGAAATCAGTATTAAGACCGGCTACACCGTTTTGAAAACTGCAAGGATTGAAACCAGTTTTAATATAACCTTGAAGAGAGAGAGAGAGCGCGTGACGTCACTATGCTGTAGTCGATAGCGAACAGGCCAATACGCATTACGGCCGCTGCAATTGATGAAACGTATTCGCTGTTTGCGTAATTATTAATAATCACACTTCAATTTTCAAAATGCTAACTCCTATAGTACACTATCGCTAGTGTTATGTGCCTAACTATTATAGAATAATAATGAATACACGGCCGAACGAAGTGAGAGACATGAGTACCAACATGACGCCACAAAAAAAATCGAATATACGTAACCCGCGTAAATTCAAAATTTGCGATACTTTTTGGACAGACCTCGTATAGTAAAAATTACAAATATTGAATGTAATCAACCGTCGGATAAGAGCCGTCCGCTGGACGTAGGTTAGATCCCTACAGTATTGTGACGTCACGCTGACGAAGGTCGCCCTAAGCCACTTGAGAAGTTATTGATTTTAAATGTCAGGTTTAATAAAAAGTTGATGGAAAAAGTAATTTTTTTTAACGATACAGTTTATAATGAAGCTGCTTTTCGATGTCAAGTCCCAACACAATTGTTGAGCTTTCTCAGTATATTTAAGGAAAAAGTGACCAAGTGCTTGCTGTATAGTATTTTTGATTAGAATCAAGTTATTTCTAGAATCCTTATATACACACGCTTCACCGAACTGGTGATGCCGCTTTATTGTAACGCATTTGGTAACAATTTCCTTGAACTTGGAAAACCTTCATGTTTTCCTCAGAACTCTATATCCTTTATCCTGAACAGCTTTGCTTACTGTCATGGTTAATATTTTCCATTGTCTAAAGTAGATAAAGGAGAAGACGCAAAACCATTTACCCAACAAACTAATCTCGACATCATGACTGCAGTTGCTAACTTTAACTGCGAAGATAAATCTTTTTTTTTTTTATTTTTTTATTCTACATCGTCTACTCGTGGAATCGTTAGATACACTTAGTTGTTGAAGGAATAAATCTCGGTTATATAAGTACCTACATGTTGAAGCTTTTACTCATGTTTTTTACGTTATCTGATCAAACTAAAATTTGGAAGTTTTCATATTTCAGTGTTCAGGTATTTATTTATAATCTAATTGGAATATCCAAATTTCCCAAAATTTTAAGGTTTGTATATACTCAACTAGTCCCTCATTCTGATGTCCGGGCGGTGAGTACTTCGGGGGATGTCATCAATAAGTAAAATTATTAAAGACAGTACAACTGTAAAGATAAATATAGAGGGGCAAAAGATTAGTATGCTTAGATTTGCAGACGATATGGCAGTATTAGCATCTAGCAAGGAGGAGTTAGAGATAGCTGTAAGTGAATTGGAAGCGGTATTAACAAAATAGTATTGCATGAAAATAAATAAATGTAAAACAAAAGTACTGGTATGTAAGGGAAGAAAAAGTGAGGAAAGATCGAATATAAAGATAAGAGACGAAAAATTAGAAGAAGTGACCGATTTTAGATACCTAGGAAGTCAGATAAGTCAGGATTGAAGGAATAGTAGGAATATAAAGCTGCAGATAACGCCGGGTCGACTCGCCTTCATTAAAAAAAAGTCACCTCTATGCTCGGAAACTGTTAATTTAGAAATTCGAAAAAGATTGGTAAAGGTATATGTTTAGAACGCGGCGCTGTACGGGTGCGAAACATGGAAGGTGGGCGCTGTGGAAAAGAAAAGCTTAGAAGCGTTCGAAATGTGGTGTTACACGCGAATGAAAAAGATACCGTATATAGAGAATGTTAGAAATGAAGTAATTTTAATTTTTTTTTTGTAGGAACGTTATTTCCTTTACGTTATGTCTCTTTCAACCATACCTGTTGACTCGTTTTCTACTTTTCTTTCAATTTCTTAACAATGCCAAAAACGTTGTTAATAAAAGTCGACTCTCTTCGCCAATACGATCGATTCTGTCTGTATATAAATCCAATTCAAAGAAAAAGGTTGAAGATACTTGTATGCATCCCACTGACATGCATATAACTTAAAAAGAATATAATTCATGCGTATGATTTGAAAAACTTTCTTTCCACATCTGCATACTGAATTGCAGTTGTGTGAAATACATTTCAGTTATGGTCGGATATATATTTACAGAAGTAGAAAAATAACTGCAAACCTGAAGTATGTATTGTAATTTTTCTTGTAACATACTTAAAGTCTAAGCATGACATAGGTAAATGTTAAATCTCTTTTCAAGCTTCTAGAAGTTTCAATAAGTTTCGAATTTTATTCCTTTCAAGGCCGTAGATAGAGATTAATTTCAAAATGAATTAGATCTTCTCAGCTTTTTTAACCCTTAGTATCACAGTGAAATACTCAGAAATCCCAACGTAATTTTAACACTAATCTTTTTAAGCCAGAAGGATCAAAACAGCGAGATTATTCAGAAATCGATCTTTGCATTTTGGTGTTAGAACAATAGAGGGTCCTTCTGAAATAAGTAGCAAGTTTTGAAGCTTTTTAACAAATACCAAAAACCAAGGAACTACCCGAGATAAAAATGTTCAGTCTCTTAGAGTCTCTGAAAGCGAGACTCGAGTCTCCGTTTCTCACCGAGTCTCTCTGGTGGCGCTGAGAGAGACTGTCGAGAGACTGTCAAAAAAACTGTTTAGCGTCTCTAAACTAGAGACTCGAGTCGCTCATAGAGAGATCCTCATTTCGTATCCGGTCTCTGAACGAGAGACTCGAATCTCTCAATAAGTGGTGTCTCGATAGACATGGTTAAAATTTTCTAAGTTCAACATATTTCAGAGATCCCAGTCTTTCTACGAGAGACTCGAGTCTCTCAATTTTTCAGTTTTATTCATTCAGTCTCTCTGTGAGAGACTCGAATCTCTGAATTAACAATTTTATCGTTCGAGTCTCTCATACAGAGACTGTGAGAGATCCATAAAAACACCTAGGCAATAACTGAGAGACCGTCAAAGACTGTGAGAGACTCTCTCAGAAACGCTGAATGACTCTGAGAGACTGGAGAGAGACTGACAATTTTTGTCTAGGGTATCTAAGTCTAGTATCTAAATAGGTATCTCGGTATCTAGGTATAGGTTTTTCTCGAAAACGGTCCACTAAATACTTACTTAATGTTTTTGTTTTATAGTATCCTGTAACTTCCTACATGCTTGATACTTATTTCAGAGACACCCTGTATATATACTTGAACCAAATAAATCTACGTATATCACTTTATTATGATCTTGTTTTTGAATTAAAGTTTTCCCCAAGAAAAGTATAAGTAATGAGTAACACTCCATTTGTTAGTAATTTGATTAATACTTTCATCTAATTACCCTAATCTAATTTTTCAACTACTTATGCTGAGTTTGCAGAGTAAGGAGAAGATACCATAGACTGTTTCAAAAATGTTTATTTTACCATTTTTTTTACAGTAGTGCAAATATTTTAATAAACCTAATAATATACTACACACTTAGGGGTTATACCGACCGACGTTTCGCCTCTAATTGAGAGACTTTATCGAGGCTATAATATTTCTAGTCGATAGTGTACGACAATTTACATTGAGTAGACACTTACTAAGTTCTTTAATTATATAAACATAGATTTTTTAAAGTCAGTATGTTATTATTCATTTCTTCCTTTTAGTTTAGTTGTGAATATGCAAAGAATCTAGGCAGTTAAGGGTTGGAAGGTTTATATTTACGAAAATGCAACATCAATACCAAGACCTTGCATACAACTTTTTATGTTACAGTAATTTACTCTGCACTGTTAGTAATCTTCTCCTACGGTTAGAAATAAAACCTGGTGTGCCTCAAGGTATAATTTTAGGTCCCCTACTCTTTATCCTTTATATAAATTACGTCCTTAATAAGATCAAAAATGATGATTTTGTATCATACGCAGAGATGACACATAAGGGATAAAGAGTAGCGGACCTAAAATTCTACCTAGAGGCACACCAGTTTTTATTTCTCTGCACTCACTTACGACACTGTTTCGTTTTAATATTTGTTGTTGTTTTGAAACGCAGCTAGTTAATAAATTCCGCACATTTTTTCTCATTCTATAGCGATATAATTTATTTAATAAAATTTAATAACTCGTAGAACCGATTTTCTCTAAATAATATGTAGTTGGATCTACAAATAAAACGAGTAAGAAAAATTTTAAGCAGAAATTCTCTCGCTAGCCCTTTTTGTGAAGGAAATTTAAACTTTGTCAATTCCTTTGCAGCGCTTATGTACGCTAGTATCTTCGGTAACGTTTCGGCGATTATTCAGCGGTTATACTCAGGGACGGCGCGCTACCANAAGAAATATTTTATTAAAAGTTCGCAGATGATGGCCTCACTGATTTCATAATGTTGAAGAAAAGCCTTTTATAGTTTGGACGATGAAAATTGGCATAGTCCGCAACAAATTATCTGTGAGAATGGATGTATGTACGTATTTCCACATGAGACTGTAGTCATTTGCTGTGTTTTGAACACGCCCTTGTTAAATTAGGAAATGCTTCATGAGGAGTACAGACAAAGTTAAAAGAGATAACCGAAAAATGGTAACAGCCTTTTTTAATGTCCCGGCGCCTTCACCAAAATTTTTATTAAATTTTTTAAGAATTGCTAATATATTGTATCTATATATCTTCATGAACATCTTATTTTCGACATTGAAGCGATACTTTACAATAAATATTACCTAAAATCACTTAGTAAGCAACTAATTACTTTATTGGGGTTGCTTAGGTACGCAAAAGATCAGGGCCGGCTTTATAACTTCTTGGTTGAAATTATATCTTTATACAAGCACCTTTGCTTTCCTAAATTCCTGGGAGTGTTGAACTTTCTTTAAGGTCCGATGCTGACAACAAGTTAAAATTCTGCTTGTCTGCATCTCATTCTGTTACACATTAATTGGTGTAATGTTATTCCTTTTTGTTTATTAGTGTCCGCTGCAATTCCTACCTGGCATCTCTCTTGTATGTTTACAATATTCTCTACAACCGCTCTAGTCTTGTTAGCATCTCTTTCTGTTACACATTAATTGGTGTAATGTTATTCCTTTTTGTTTATTAGTGTCCGCTGCAATTCCTACCTGGCATCTCTTTTCTATGTTTACGATATTCCCTACAACGTCTGTCGTGAGTAAGAGTAGGCGTTCCGTCAGCAATCGCTCTAGTCTAGTTAGTAAGTTGAAAGAAAAGTTGAAAGAAGGAAATAAATGCGACAGTTTTATTGCAAACTATGCCAATTTTGAATGTCCCAACTGTAGGATGCTTTTTACCGTCTCTCTTTTTCCAGTGACAGCAGGTTTCTTGAAATATCAATTGAAACAACAACATTCTCATTCTCGGATGTTTTTTTAGGCACACATTTGTTTTATTATATTTGCTTACATAATTTGAAAAGAAAATATCTTACATTCGTCATGCAAAATTACTTACAAAAGAAAAACTGTTACTGTCATAGAATATTATAAAGAATCAAGTTTCCATTTATATATAACTACAGCTAATTTGTCCAAAAGAATTTGGTATTTGAACGTATCTATGAAATTGGTAATTTCATAAAAAAAAATTAAACAATCATATTTCAATTTAATAAAATTTACAGAAGTTGCCAAATGCTTGTCACAATTTCAATCTGACTAGTTCTCATTAGCACACCACCGAAAAATGAACTTTTGGAAATTAAATGATATTTCGTTTATATCTTTTGTTTGAAATTAGTACCAAAGCACTGACTATGTTTTTGTCGATGCGAGCAAATTTTATGCTTTTATCTGTTGTTACTGTTACCCTTACCTTTCAGGGCCTTAACGTTAAAATTTAAAACTACACATGCACCCCCAGGGGACACGTTAGTTCATCGAGGGGACGTATTAACCTCACTTTATTTCATATCAAGGGGATCCATCGAGATTCTGAAAGATGACATTGTGATGGCTATTTTAGGTGAAGCATACTTCTCTTAAAAGATAAAGCCATTTTCATATATCAGTCGTTTTTATTTTTCTTTTAAGGAAAATATGATATTTTCGGTGAAAACCCTTGCATACATCCGACTATAGGGAAGTCGAGCTGCAACGTAAGGGCACTAACCTACTGTGATCTTCATAAAATACATAGGGACGATCTTCTGGACGTCCTTGAACTGTATCCAGAATTTTACAATAATTTTATGAATAATTTAGAAATTACGTTTAATCTAAGGGATGTAAGTATATTTGAATAGCTAAAATATACAAATTCCATTACCCCGTCCCTCTCCTTCTTTCAATTAAAAATCAATCTAATAAACCAAAAATTTTTAAAAAGGATAATCGAGGTACTTTATTTAGCTACCAAAAATGTCTTCTCCGATATATTTTGCGATGCCTTAGAATTGCCTCAGCGTTTCTAGATTTTATGGTGTTCTCATCTCCAAACTCAAAAAATGTAATTTTTGGCCTCGTTGAGGGTAAAAGAACAAAACAGCCAATCATTCACAAGATGTCTTTACCAATTGATTCTAATCTGGATCCAACATGTCATGATTTTAGTATTTCCTTTTAGGATTAGAATATTTCCAAATTTTAATGTAGTAGAGCAGTTCCAAAACCGAATTCCAATTTGCCGTCAAAAAGGGCTATCTAAATATTTACCTACTTTTCCGATTATTATTAACAGTTAACACTTTAACAAGATAAATCGAAAGGTTAATAGCTGATACCTCGGAAATTACTACATCTCTTTTTTGTTTTGTCCTTTTACTACACCCCTCAAATAGTCTAAAAATTCTAATAACTTTTGGGTTTTGGAGTTGGAATATCTTACGATCCCAACGAACTGAGGGAATTCTGAAGACAGAGTCGGATTTGGCGTCACAAATTAGTTTAAAAATGATCAATCTATGTTTTTTCCTTATTCAACCTCGATTCAGTTGTCCTATTTCAGTAGTGTAATTCCCTATTTCGTCATTTTACTGTAACGTCCCTAACGGTTCAATGATTTTCAGGAAGAGCAAGTGGGGGTTATTCCAAAACATCGTTACTACCATAGGTCGCATGCTAACGACAGAGAAGGTAGATTTAGGGGTTTTAACGTAAGATCGAACGGTCATTCCAGTAGGGGAACTTCACTGGGGGGGAGACAAGAATCCATAGGAAGTGACGAGTCGGAATCAGGCAAGTTTTCTCAAACTTATTACTCATTTTTATTTTAAAAGTGAAACAACCTACGTTTTCAGCTTTTTCTCCAAACATATCGCTTTTTGTATTTGGCTAAAATACACAGGGTGTCTCACGGTGACCGAAAGCGTCATAATATATAGGGTGTTCCATTTATAATAACGAAGTTGGTGTAACCGGAAGTGGTACATAGATGTCGTTATTTTAATTGAGAAATTTTGTACAAATTTTCAAATATATTAAATCGAAATAGTTTCTGAAATATTCTTATGGGTGGTCACCGTGAGACACCCTGCATATCTAGTAGAGCTAGAGGAATCAGTAATCTCAAATATTTTAAAGATAACAACAAAATTACGTAGCAAATTTTGAAAAAGGTGTAAACTGTTCTTCAATTGGTTCGCTGGAGATCAGCTTTTGAGGTGAATTAGATGAAGAGCTATTTTCTGGATAGTATCGAGATTTATTTCATTCGCAAATTAAATATAATTTCTAATGAATTATGGACCATATTACATTTTAATTATTGTATCTTTAAGTGTCTGGGAAATCGATAGTACTTATTATGTTATGTTTATAGTGGAATTCTTCTGAAAATTGTTTTAAAAGTTGAAAATCCTAGACTAATCTCAATTGTTATCATGGAAACGACTTATCGAAGTTTTTTGAGGTACTAATAACTTCAATGGCTTCAAAGAAAGAAAGCGATTCATTTTCTTTCAGGAATATAGAAAATATGTACTTTATAATCACCTCATTTATTCTACATGACACAGAAAACAAAACGAATTGCTATTGTAATTATAGCAACAGGCAATTATAGAGCTGGGGCTGCAACGTAGAGATGTAAATATTAGGAAGGGATTCAGGCAGGGATGCACACTGTCACCGCTACTTTTTAATCTATACATCGAAGACGCGATCAACATCATTAAAGACAGTACAACTGTAGGGATAGATGTACATGGGCGAAAGATTAGAATACTTAAATTTGCAGATGATATAGTAGTATTAGCATCTAGCAAGGAGGAGTTAGAGATAGCTTTAAATAAAATGAAAACAGTATCGACAAAACAGTATTGTATGAAAATAATTAAAATTAAAACAAAAATACTGGTATGCAAGAGAAGAGAATGTAAGGAAAAAGCAAATAGAAAGATAGGAGACGAAAAATTAGAAGAAGTGGCTGATTTCAGGTATCTAAGAAGTCAAATAAGTCAGGATGGAAGGAGTAGTAGGGACATAAAGCAGAGGATAGCGCAGGGTCGAGTCGCCTTCAATAAAAAAAGTCACTTCTCTGCTCGCGAACGGTTAATATAGAAATTCGAAGAAGATTGTTAATGGTGGATGTTAGGAGCGCGGCGCTGTATGGGTGCGAAACATGGAAGGTGGGCGCTGTGATAAAGAAAAGGATAGAAGCGTTCGAAATGTACTATTACCGGCGAATGATAAGGATACCGTATATAGAGAAGGTTATATAGAAGTATTAGAAAGAATAGGATAACAGAGGACTCTATGGAAGTCAATAAAAAATAGGCGAAATAGGTTTAAGGAAATGCGAAGATTAGCTCAGGATAGAAAAGAGTAGAGGTGCGTGTCCAACCAGTCTTAGGACTGACGACCTTATGATGTTATAATGTTTGTAATAACCTACCCCCTCTGAAATATTCGTTGAAATATAAAGATTAATATTGTTTAATATTGTGCTAAAGCTAAAACGATTTTTAACGTAATTTTAACAATCGTTAATCAAGTTTCTTATAAAGGTTAAGTTCTTCATCTTGAGTAACTGAGCCTTAAAACTGAAAAAAAAATTAACGCTTGTCCTTACCTCCGACTTCTGTTTTTAAATAGAAGAGATTGCCCAAATTTGAAAAAGATAATAGTATATCGATACTTTCGTTTGATGACACACTAATAAAGGTAATGAAGAAATAGGTGAAAATTCAACGGTAAATTTTTCGAATAGGCCACGGAATTTTAGAATTTTCCACTGACAAGGCAGGTCAAGACGTTACGCCCCTGAATCTTGATTTTGGGGAAGAAAAGAAGCGTTCGTCAACCCTGAATTCCATTACTGGTAAGTGTACCATCATTGTAAACTGAATGATTTGCTAGTTTTGTTAAAATTATCGATTTTTTTTCTGTAACTAATAATTAATCGCTTATATCTTTCGAAAATCTTATTGTTTTGAAATTTTTTGAAATTCATGTCGATGTTATGCAGGTAAAATGAATGTAATCTTGTCCAAGTCCTTGAAAAAAATGTGATAAGAAACAACAAAATTATCCCATAATAATGAAAGTGCATCGCCATCTTTAGTTATATGCTACTAACTACATTATCTCATAGTGTTTGACAATTCCTTGCATAGGTTTATGCTGTATGCTGGATTTCAGTTCGGCAAGTATGAAGTACGGGTACTAGTACATATATATAGATGGCGCTGTACTGCCAGTTACCTTATATTAATGAACTTGCTTAAATATATGAAGCAAGTTTGGGTTAGTTGGCGATTTACAAAAACTGCCTGTGGTGTTAAATTAAAAACCAATAAATTCAAAATCTAGATCCACATCCTATAGATTTGATAAATTACATTAAGTTCATAATATTATTCAGAAAGTTATTAAAACATCATTAGAACTAATTTTGTTTCTCCTGTAAGTACGGCCCTGGATATTGTTGTTCTTATTACATTTTCTTGTCGAGTGCCCTTTAGTATTAACCCTGTTCATTTACATTTTTAATCGTCATTTATTGTTAAATTGCATTTGTTTAATTATTTTATACATATCCCAGCAAGTAATACCTCTTACGTTTTCTAGACATGAGTGGGTGCTTAAAACGTACTGTACATTACAATTATTTTGAAAACTGTTGGTACACTTTTTAAAAAAACGCTGGTGTTAAATATATTGAAAGCACGTTTTACATTTTGTTCAAAATATACTTAATTTCTAATGATTAGTAAACAATTTATTTAAGAATGGAATATTAATAATCTATTGAAAACAATTCATACAATAATTCAATCAGCAGACACTTTGATTAAATAAGCAAATATATTAATATTTTCATTATTGTACAATACTAATTATGGTGAAACGTATAGAAAATGGCAGAAAAACTATCACGATGAGTGAAGACGGTCACTCTCACTGACTTCTAATAGGAACTATTTCTTATTTCATTTTTAGGAGGTGTCTAAGCATTTTTAAAAAAATGGTAATGTAATGTACTTTAGTGACACACTCTATAATATAGTCCAGTATCAGTTGATGGTAACGAGGAACTCGTTTAATATGAACACAAAACAAATTATTATCCATTAATTAAATAGAATTCCAAATTACTGATGCCACTTATATTCTAATGAACATTTGTTTATGTTTTATATTTCGCTTTTTATTTTACTGTAATACTTATTGTGTCCATTTTAAAAGAGTTCTAATAATTTGTGTATTACTGTTAAAAAAGTTATGAGGGTGCCCGGCCGATAAGTGCTGCGAAAATGTATAAAAAGTAAAACAAATGAATATGTTTAGGCATGTTTTCACACCTCAAACGAAGTATCCCTGACCTAAGGTTACACAAAAGTTCCCACCAGCCGCTACTAGGTAAGTTCAATGTTCAGTTGTACACTATGAGAAAACGATTTCAAACAAACCAGAAAGAAATTAGTAAATTTATAGTCTGACAAATTTGTAAAGAGATACTCATGATCAGGACAAGCAAACAGGAGAACAGAAACGTAATCTTAAAGAAGCGAAGGAGCCTGCAAGTCGTGGAAGGTGTGTCATCACAGGAGTCACACTGGACGGCATTTATAAATGGTCCTAGACCGAAGGTACTAAATTTAAATGTATAAAGATAAACTCTACTTCTCTGCAAATTTGTCGGCCTATAGATTAGGGCAGTTACCAAACATGTATGTATGTATGTAGGATGGAATAATATACTAGAATATATTCGTAATTGGTATATTTTAGCGGTGACAAACTATGTTCCCATTAATGTTATTTAGTAGACGTATGTAGATATTTCTAGTAAATGCCTACTAATTGCAATGAACAAATAGACACAAAAAGTACTAAATAGGTATGTAGATTCTTGTAGGTATATAAATCGTAGAGGAAAGTCACCTAATTTTGGAAACGTACTTGCATCGTCAACATAGGATTGATTTTCATTCCAAAGACTAATAAAACTAATATCTCCCCATTCCGAACCATATTCTTACAACACTATACTTCGTTCAGTTTCTGTAGCGATGTGACCTTCAGTTTGACCGGCGCAAAGTAGAAAAGAACAGCACTAGGCCAGAAAAAGAAGGAGACAACTCTCGGCCAAACTCTTAACCGGTGAGGAGCGTAAAATCCGTACAGTACTGCACGGAAAAATTGACCATTTTATCCACTACAATTGCATTGCTCGAATGTGCTGTTATTGGTACCAATTACTATTGAAAATTTCAACAAGATGTTTATTTATATTTGAAGACATATTAAAGGCTTTAACGCTTGTTTTCGACTATCACTACTATTCATGATTGAACAAAACTTTTGGCAGGTACTGTATGAAAAAGTATGTAAGTCGAGAGTATAATGAGCTTTTTCCTCCCTACCTACGATTTTGCCAGAGCGCACCCAAGACATTGGAAGGGGCACATCGCTAGAGAAAGTAAATGAAGTATACATTCTAAACGCTTCTTTAACCGACTTCTCAATCGTCCCAATCAAACACCCCACCGATTAATTCCTGCAATCCCAGATAGAGAATTCCGAAGGAGAAATTTGCAATTTTCTATAATCTGTTAAAAGCTATTTAAAGTTAGATGATATTCCTCTACAATTTTTACTCAGTATATACACAATATTTTGAATAAAATCTTTATTGTGCAATCTTAAATTCTTCACGAAATTCTAATACGCATTTTCATGTTCACTTTTTTATATCTGATGCACAACAATCGAGAAATGAACAAATGACGTTCAACCTATCGGAGCACTCTTGTTCTGCTGTAAGCGAAAATAAACCATTGAAATGTTGGAGCAGCGCGACCGATTGCGAAAAACACTGTAAACATACAGCAAAGAAACGATCGCAGACAATACTCTTATCATGCAGCAGAGAGAGCAATTGCAGACAGTACTATAAAGTTGCAGAAGAGAGAGCGATCGCAGGCAGCACTGTAAACATGCAGCAATGAAATCTATCACAGTCAGCACTGTACACTTGCAGCAGAAGGAACGATCACAGACAGCACTCTAAACTTGCAGTAGAGAAACTATTGCAGACTCCACTGTAAAAATTTTAGCATAAAGATTTTTGCACACAACATTGTAAACTTGCAGAAGAGAGAGCGATCGCTGGCAGCACTGTAAACATGCAGCAATAAAAGCAATCACGGTCAGCACAGTAAACTTGCAGAAGAGAGATCAATCGCAGACAGCACTGTAAGCTTTTAACAGAAGGAGCGATCGCAAGCAACATTGTAAACTTGCAGCAGAGAGAGCGCACTCCGATTGGTTAAATATTTTAATTTCGGCTGCAGATTACCCAAAAATTAGGCTTTAAATTAAAAAAATAGAAAGAGATAAAACACTTGCAAATTTCACAAGGAATCGAACGGTGTTCCCCAGTTTAAAAGTTTGTTTTAAAAAGCCGGTATATTTTCTAAAAAACGTTATTTGATAACTATATAAGCAGAAACATAATCCCACTTTTGATAATTTGTTTTTAAGTGTAATATTTTACTAAAGTTTTAATATCAATAAATAGTAGTATCAGTTGATTTGTTTGAGATCGTTTTCAATAGATTCATTTCAGAAAAATCTAAAATATTTCAAAAATAATAATTTAAGGGTTCATATAAATAATATCCACATAATAGAATGTTGTGTATTCTTTCTGAAATGCAATATTTACAAGAATAAAATTATATCAGAGAACTCTGCACAAGATATTTCTTCCTGAACACTTTCAATGTATGTATAACGTTTGCTTGAGTTCTTCTGCTGTTTATTGTTAGATATTAGTCCCTAGTGAATAATACTCTCTTAGAATGTAAATGAAAGAAATTAATTTATGTTACAATATTACTTACGCAACACCTTTTGCATTCAATTAAATCCCCCTTAGCTTGACCCCCTTTTTGTTATATCGTTTAGTTGGATTGTTAAAGTTAGAAAAAAGATAAGCAAACAAAACAATACTATACGTATCATGTACTGTCAAATAATTCATTATTGTTATTGTTATTAGAAAGAAAATTTGGTGTCATAACCAATTCAAATATCTTCGTGAGCATTTATTTATACGGTAATAGTATATTTTTGAACATTTTCGGAAACTTCCTGTAAGTTCCTTTTATCGTGTAGTTTTCCGCGACTGTCGGCTGCTGCCAGTATCGATCGCCTGCGGCATTCGTCCATAGCAATAACCTAAAACATATTTTCTTTTTCTTAATCAAAAACTTGATAGTAAATCAATTTTATTCCGGCTATTACTTATATTAATGTAACCAGCTTTTATAAAAAGGCATCAAAATTAGTCCACCCTGTACTACACATACTTAAAAAAACATTTAGCCATAAAAATTCGTACTTATTAGAAATTTGTGTAGGAACGTATCTAACTGCACGTCTTCGTTATTCGTTAATCACTTGATTATCAAACTGATAATAATTCTAACGTCATCCCCGTAACCAGCTAAACGTGATAATTACGTTTCAGCTCATTCCACGCCCCCATCTTCGCACCGATTGCGTACAATACGTCGTCAATCGTCAGTAGGAGCGTATCAAGATAACGTGACGACAAGTACTAACCATCAACAGCAATCGAGTGCCACGCATCACAGTTCCGTTCCGATATCGAGTAGCACCAGCTACTACACCAACAGTCCCAGTCCTCCTCACGCGGGAGACAATTCATCAGCACAAGTAGCAGCACAAAGTCACGCCAGTCACGGCGTGCGCAGTCCGCTAGAACTGAGTCAAAAGCTCGAGCAAGCGATAAGTCAGACGGTCTTGGGACCGTTGGGTGACTCGGTACCAATTGGAACAACCGAGCCGTTACTGGAGCAAACTCTACCAACGGTTGAGGCCACAACGAACGCTCTTGCACAATCCTGTTTTATACATTCCACGCCTGAAACCACTACTACACATTCTGATATTTTAGTTTTAAGTAGGCATCAATTCGAACAAATTAATAGTAAGATAGACAAGCTCTCGAAGAGGGTCGAAAACATAGAAACGAGTTTAGCGACTGATGTTAGGTTAATTCTCAACATGCTACAAGCACAAAGGGGGAAAGAAATCGTCGCCACCACTTCCTCTACAACCACCACCAACCAAGAGGTATGTCCCTTGTTCATTTCCGGATTACCATAAATAAGCTAGGCTGTTAAATACCCATTTTGGTGGGCTCAAAAGAAGTTGTTCCAAACTTGAACGAATAATTTTTAGAATAACGCGAATCTGAAACCAGTTTCTATTTATTACCATTTTTTGAGTGGCTCAGAAAGAACGTAATGTTTTTTACTAGCAACACTTTCATGTTAATTCTAGTATCAGCCAAGATTGTTATCATCTCTTTTCGTAATAAATTTTTTTCTATTTAATTATATTATCCTCAGGGGAGTATCTTTTGAGCTTTCGAGATTGTCGTACAAAAGTTATTTTGTTTTGAAATCCCTTAGGATTTCGATTACCTAATAGTTCACCACATGTCTAATATGGCACTGAATCATATTCTAAACAACCCAACGAGATCTTCTGTAATTACAAACAATTAAATCCTTTCAGATTCCAGAATACGAGCAAGTGACGACAGATGCTACAGTCAGAAGTAGGTACGTGTTCCAAAGATCAGTTAGCGAGCCAAAACCTATTTCATCTAAGTGCGTTCATTCTCAAGCTTTACATAGGTAAGACACTTTAGTATCAAAAACACTGGAAACATTGACAGTGTTGTAGAATACAGTAAATAGCCCAAACTCCAATACTAAAACAATACAGAAGCAGTTTTCGGTAACAAAGTTGCCTTCTTTAGGAACTGAATAAAATTCAGTTACTCAAAACTATTTTAGACGTAGGATTTGAGCTATTTAGTGTATTCTGTCCTTTAAGCACTTACATATAACACCACCATCAGATTTTGTAGTAATCTTTCATCTATTGACACCATCTTTATGAGTAAAAAATTGCTATTACGATGTATGTATGTAGGAATACCTAAATGGTTTTTTTTGTTTCATTTTTTATTCGTTTTCTAGTCATAGGAAAGTATTGTTATGATACCAAAAATCAAAATCATAAGTTTGAACAAATTTACAATTTAAAATTTAATTCAGGCGTGGTTAGGTTAGGTGCGTGATCATTTTTTTTTTTTTCTTACAAGATATCTCAGAAACCAAAAATGATATCGACTTCGTTAGGGTGCCAATCGAAGCGTATTAAAGTCAATATGATCTGATACAAATTTAATAGCATTCGGTCAGCCGTTTTTTTATTCAAACAAAAGAGAGGTAGATATTAAAACCCACAAAAAATACAATACAAATAGGGAAAATACATTACATATTTATTTATTTATTTATATTTAATAGTGTCCATGTGGACCTCAAGGGTCGTACCTCGCTAATAAAATTGCCCTATACTATGGTTTAGTGTAAAGTTTATGCCGGATGGGTATAGGAATAGTCGATAATTTGGTTTCTAAGATGAAAATATTCATACAGAATAATAGTATCTGCAAAATATATTATGTTGTTTAACATAACAAATGGCAACAAGCTATTAATATTTTGTAAGCTCTGTCTATTTTTTTTTTATTAGATCATTTATCTTAAATCACTATTAATTAAGAAATTTGTAACTCCTAAAGAAATCACAAGGTGATAAAAGGTGGTATTTATTTGAGAATTTGGCGCAAATTAAAAAGTGATTTAATTTCTTGATATTGTCATTTTCCATTATAAAAGAGTAGAACCCTATCATTTCATTTAAAAAGACATTATAACTTTATTCACAATCACTAAAAGATTTTATTGGTCATTGTTCCCTTTTTTTACAATCAGTTGTTTAAATCAAAGTAATATTGGGGTTAAAAGAACTATATATTGCTTTAATTTAAACAAGAAAGATTTTCTTGTTTCACACTCTATCGATATATGCACACAAATTATGCAATGGGCACAAAAAGAAGATAATGCAATTTGACTCTTTCAGATTCGCTTCATTCAATAAAGCTTTTGATTACGATAAAAATCAGGATCCGTGGACAGATACGTCTTTCAGGGAAGAAGAGAAAGAAGACAAAACAGCTCCCATTGCAAAATTAGAATCACTGGATGAATTAGATTTGGTAAGTGCTATTTCGAAATTTTTGAAATGAACAACACAATAACCGTTTCTGGTTAACTGAGTAATGAATAAAACGTCATTACTTTGAAATTGCCAACAAATACATTTTTCATCTTTGAAAAGTTATTTATCTTCCAATAATACTTAACTAAACTAATTCCAAATTGTAAACTAACATATTTGTAAATATATATATATAAAAGAAATTATAAGTGTTGTCAGCACAAGGAAATTTCTTATGTTGAAGTGTACGATGTGTGTGTGTGTACGTATTTGCAAACAATTCCTTTAAATTTTAATCATTAATTACTATACATCTATTAAAAAACCATAATGGCCGACATCAGTAACAATGCGACAACAATTGAAAAAGAATGATGGCCGACAACAGCAACAATTAGAAAAGAATGATGGCCGACACTACGGCCGACACTACGTCACAAAAGTGAATTTCAACCACTCGAAGCAACAGTGCTAACAGTTTCGAGCTCACAGTGACTGATAGGGGGGAAGAACTAGTTAAAGTAATAGATAATTAAATATGGTGATATTATTCCTCCATCTAAAGAAGCCATTGTGTGGCGAAATAATTAATAGCTTCTTTAGATGGAAGAATAATATCGCCATATTATTCCTCTACCTGTGGCGAAATAATTATTGGCTTCTTCAGGTGGAAGAATAGTATCACCATATTATTTCTTCACCTGAAGAAATTACTGTGTGGCGAAATAATTGTTTCTAACTAAACATTGTGTTTGTATTTTGTGTTCAATATGTATAGGTATGCTTAACTTTACCTTTTGTACATACAAAACAGGGAATGTTAAAAATCATCTGAACTTTGTTAACTCTTGCCCTTTACATTATTTGTTACAGTAATTGTGAATTATATACTAATTATTTTCCTTTTTTTTCAGGAATCCCCTACATTAAGTCCAACAAAGAAGTTTAAAAAATGAATTATCTGTTGAAATTTTTCTCCCTCGTGTTTTACCTGTCCATTTTAATAAGTCAATTCATCCATATTAATGTTGTTTTCGTTCAGTAATCAAGAAAATGATAAAAAAATACAAAAATCGAACGCTTTCTCTGAAAAAAAATGGGCAAACACGAATGATTGTCCATGCGCTTAGAGACTGTATTATATTTTTAAGGAATTCGTTTCTAAGACAGAAGGAAAAAATGTGAATGATAAAAGTGAGAATAATAATAATAATAAATGAAGACAGTAAGTGATAGCCACAGACCTTGCAAAGGGAACACAGGTAAATATTTGTTTTAAAAGTTTTATTCATTATTATAAACAGTAAAAATATGGACCAGTTTGCATATAATTAAAGTTTTAAATCAAGTAACAAATTATTACAGAAAGTTACTATCTTAACTTTATTTGAAATTTAAATTAAAAATGTAGTAAAAATAAAGAGTTTAGATAAGAGTATCAAAAAAGTGAAAAAAGTTTTTATTGTTCCCTTAGTTATTCTAACCATTCATAACACTTAGAATCATACAAGTATATAGTTACATACAATAATTTTGGTGACCAATCTTACCCATTTTTGGCACTGTTATTTGTATTTTCCCATTGTTGATGAAATATTGCATACTGAGAAAATAGAGATTCCACTCAAATACTGAAATACATATTTTTCTTAGGTGTATAAAAATCTACATCTAATCTAAAAAAAATTGATGCCTTCAGTCTCTCAGCGTGAAATATATCAATAATAACAGAAGAATACAAAAAATTAATAAAAATGGCCGAGTTTGACAACCAAAATAATTGTATTTAACTGTTAAAGTAGTTCTAAATACAAGTTATGAGATATTAGAATAATTATAAGGAACAGTAGAGGAAAAAATTAAAACAATTTTTTAGAAACGTATCAGTTCACTGTTGTATGGGTCATTTTTATACTCTTATCAACCCTAGACCCTTTTTGTTGTTACATACGAATGTATAAATTAGAAGGACATATCAGAACTCAGATTGAAGCAGTATAAATATGTACATGTGTATATTTCTATGTATAAAATGAGTTTACTGCATTATTAGTTTAAAATTGAATATCTCTTTACAATGTCTGCGGTTTTTCTTTTCGGAAATGCAAAGTATTAAAATCCGTCTTTAAATGTTATTATAATGTAAGATTAAGTTAAGAAACCAAACTGGAATTTCGTACAATGTTGATTANTGAAGACAGTAAGTGATAGCCACAGACCTTGCAAAGGGAACACAGGTAAATATTTGTTTTAAAAGTTTTATTCATTATTATAAACAGTAAAAATATGGACCAGTTTGCATATAATTAAAGTTTTAAATCAAGTAACAAATTATTACAGAAAGCTACTATCTTAACTTTATTTGAAATTTAAATTAAAAATGTAGTAAAAATAAAGAGTTTAGATAAGAGTATCAAAAAAGTGAAAAAAGTTTTTATTGTTCCCTTAGTTATTCTAACCATTCATAACACTTAGAATCATACAAGTATATAGTTACATACAATAATTTTGGTGACCAATCTTACCCATTTTTGGCACTGTTATTTGTATTTTCCCATTGTTGATGAAATATTGCATACTGAGAAAATAGAGATTCCACTCAAATACTGAAATACATATTTTTCTTAGGTGTATAAAAATCTACATCTAATCTAAAAAAAATTGATGCCTTCAGTCTCTCAGCGTGAAATATATCAATAATAACAGAAGAATACAAAAAATTAATAAAAATGGCCGAGTTTGACAACCAAAATAATTGTATTTAACTGTTAAAGTAGTTCTAAATACAAGTTATGAGATATTAGAATAATTATAAGGAACAGTAGAGGAAAAAATTAAAACAATTTTTTAGAAACGTATCAGTTCACTGTTGTATGGGTCATTTTTATACTCTTATCAACCCTAGACCCTTTTTGTTGTTACATACGAATGTATAAATTAGAAGGACATATCAGAACTCAGATTGAAGCAGTATAAATATGTACATGTGTATATTTCTATGTATAAAATGAGTTTACTGCATTATTAGTTTAAAATTGAATATCTCTTTACAATGTCTGCGGTTTTTCTTTTCGGAAATGCAAAGTATTAAAATCCGTCTTTAAATGTTATTATAATGTAAGATTAAGTTAAGAAACCAAACTGGAATTTCGTACAATGTTGATTAATTTAAATTGTTGAAAGCTTGTTTTAGCACTTTGTAATAATCAGTCGCTTTACATTATTATACATATTTTGTAAGCACAACACTGTTTATACACTGTTTACCATATTTTTAATAATATAACAATGAAACATTGAATACTCAATAAAATGTATGCCTTATATCGGCAGTACAATTATTTCTAATTTGTTTTATTCTTTTTTAACCAGAAAAATCAGTCTATGTCCCTTTATTGCTACATGCTTTGGTAAGTAATTTTTAAACTCCCTTTTTCTTTATTTTTACTATTTAGGGTTAAGTAACAACCATTACTAATTCTTATAAGTCTTAGTAGCAAAAGTAGAAATTAATTTATTCGGATAGATTTTAAATTATCCAATACACTTGAATTTTTTAAATTTTCTCCCGCCACAATATTAATCAATAGCGTATGCAACCGCTATAGCACTTCGCATGCGGTTTAATCTACTCAAAACATCAAAATTCATATAGTTGTTACTTTCAACAATCACTTTGTGAAGACCCATTTTGTTACAAATCTTCTACCGTGTTAAACAATAAACTTAACATAATTAATTGCTAGAAAATAAATTAAAACTAATTTAATTATGTTTCTAAGAACTTAATTGAACTTCAATTCATAAATACACAATCAAGTAAGTAACACATTATATTATTACAGAATATCATATATCTAAACTACAGTTTTAAAATATAATTAACAATATTCGTGTATGAAAACTCATTCAAATCAAGGTTGAAAACAAACTCGTATTTGAGCCTTAAACTTCGCATTATTCGTGTATTACCTTTCTGGTTACATTTGAATGACACTTTGGCAGTTTTACGTTTTTATATATATAAAAACATTGGTATTTTTAATAACTATAATCGTTACTTGGCAAAGCAGAAATAAAATTCCTTATTTAGATTTAAAATGATTCGACATACTTGAATTTTTGAATGTTTCTCCCGCCTGAATATTAATCACATTTGAATGACACTTAGGCAGTTCCATGATTGTATATATAAAATCCTTTGGTGTTTTTAATAGCTGAAGTCATTATTTGGCGAAGCAGAAATAAAATTCTTTGTTTGAAGTTAAAATAATTCGACATACTTGAATTTTTGAATTTTTCTCCCGCCTCAATATTAATCAGTAGCATATGCAACTGCTATAGCACAGTCGCATGCGGTTTAATCTACTCAAAACATCAAAATTCATATAGTTGTTACTTTCAACAATCACTTTGTGAAGACCCATTTTGTTACAAATCTTCTACCGTGTTAAACAATAAACTTAACATAATTAATTGCTAGAAAATAAATTAAAACTAATTTAATTATGTTTCTAAGAACTTAATTGAACTTCAATTCATAAATACACAATCAAGTAAGTAACACATTATAATATTACAGAATGGCATATTTCTAAACTACAGTTTTAAAATATAATTAACAATATTCGTGTATGACAACTCATCCAAGTTAACGTTGAAAACAAACTCGTATGTAATCTTTAAACTTCTCATTATTCGTGTATTACCTTTCTGGTTACATTTGAATGACACTTTGGCAGTTTTACGTTTGTATATATAATAACCTTTGGTATTTTTAATAACTATAATCGTTACTTGGCAAAGCAGAAATAAAATTCCTTATTTAGATTTAAAATGATTCGACATACTTGAATTTTTGAATTTTTCTCCCGCCTCAATATTAAACAGTAGTATATGCAACCGCTATAGCACAGTCGCATGCGGTTTAATCTACTCAAAACATCAAAATTCATATA